ATTATTGAATGAAGTGTTCTCCCTTCCCTGGAAGGGAAATATTGAAAGAAGCAGTTGGACATGGCACTAGCAAGAAGGAATTAGATCATGGGGTTCTTCTTGCCATTTCAGTCACCTCTTGAATCTTGTTCTCTGGGGTTCTCCGGGACCGACAGCCATGTGATTTGATAGCCACAGCTCTGCAGGAAAAGTACCTTCCCCCACTCTTACTCCTCCTCCTCATTTTTGAATCTCTTTTCAACCTTCTCTAGGTGGAGCATGACCCCACAAACAGTCAACGCCTACTACCTGCCTACTAAGAATGGCATCGTCTTCCCTGCGGGAATCCTGCAGGCTCCTTTCTACGCGCGCAACCATCCCAAGTGGGTCCGGGTGCTGCTCGATGGGAAGAAGGGGCTTGCGATGGGGGTGGGACATTGCCCTTGACTTGGTCAGATCTGGCTCTCTGGTCTTGACACTGTTTGGGTGGAATCACACCTGTATCAAGATGGGAACGTGATGGTTTGGGATATGTAAAGGGAAAACAGGTCGGTTTCCTCCTCCCCCCAGTAGTCATCGTGATGAAGTTTCCACATGCAGAAGGCCCACACTAGGGCAGCTCGGCTTGCCTGGCACCCCATATGCCCTAAAAGTTTCTAGTTGTTTTCTACAGCGGTGGTGGAAGGAGGCCAATGGCTAGAGACTCTCAGGTCACTTTCACACGAACTGCTACGTTGGGATTTGCCATCCTTCGCCCAAGTACTTTTTCCATGAAATTTAGGTATCATTGGCATGATGTAATATTGCAGCATCTTCTGTGTCCTCTTGCCACCCTTTTTTTCCAGATCTGATTTGTGACTGCCACCATCACAACCATCCCACCCTCACACACTTGCAAATGCAGTCTGCAGTGCCAGCCTGCCCAAGAGCTATCTCGAAGCTTCTACTTCACCGTTTCTATTTTAGCTTCTACTTTGTGGTTTCCCGCTCAGGGGTGTCGCTGTGTTTCCAAATTGCACCTTTAATGGCCCATTTAATCAGTTCTTGTTCCTTCTATGGCATGAGAAGATTAAACAACTTGTTTTTTCTTTTATGATTTTCATCTTGTAACAGTAAATAATGCTAAACAAAAGGATATTAGCCAGAAGCCTATGGCCCATTTAGGTTAGGTTGTGTTTGCCTTCGTGGCAAACAAATTGCCACTAATTAACAAGGTGCTGGTTGTCTTCCTCGCTGTGCATCTGATCTCATGCTTAGGCATCTACCCAGGAACATAACCAGTACCTTGTTAATGAACAGCAATTTTCCACCCCAAAATATCTAGTTTTTCTGCTGTAAGCCTAAATTTGCCCTACGATTCTGGGCCACCCACCTGCCACCCAAGTGGTCCCTATGCAGTGATCTTCCCTAAAAAGGCCAAAGAAGGATTTGATGCTTTCTTTGTGAAAGATGGAAGCAACTGAACACATATCTTCAGTGGCATGTCTGAATATCCTTTATTGCATCTGAGACATTTGCTTCCTTCCCCATAGTGTTTCAAAGGTTAGGCAGCCTGTGTCCCCCACCTCTTAATGTTCTCTTGCTTTCTTCCCTTGAGGGCCCTCAACTTTGGAGGCATTGGCGTCGTAATGGGGCATGAGCTCACCCATGCTTTTGATGACCAAGGTAGGGGCATGTTTCTTGGCCCACTAGGCAGATGGCCATGGATGGCTTCTTACACCTGGCATGCATGCTGCATCCTTCTAAGAGAGACACCTTTTTTTGGGGTTGCATCCTTCATGGGCCTTTTGAACCATAACGAACGATGGCAACTCAATCAAGCGACATCACTTTATATTAATCGCAATCCTTTGTAGTGACGACCTTGCGCTTCCCGCCCTCCCTCGTTATCTCAGCTCCCTTGGATGACGCTCCCCACCATTTCCCATTCAGAGGGTTCAGACCCACCGTCCCGGTGAGATTTTTGCTGTCCTCGGTGCGGCGAAGGATTCAAGGACTCGTTCTAAAATTTGATAAGGAAATCTGCCATGCCCAAAGGGGTGCACAATCTACCTTTTTCAATCCCTGCTTTTGGCCCAGCACATTGTGATCTATATTGTCCTGAATTTGGAAAAGATCCTTTTTTGAGGGGACTACAACTCCCAGAATCTAAATCCTAGAAGCCAAGGGGTTGTGGGAGTTGTAGCCCAAGAAAGTAACTTCTCTAAGCTCTGTGGCAGTCCTCTCTAGCCAACGCTCTACTCTACTTAGATGGCTGAGTCCACCCTCTCCAAAAGGCTGCCAACATTAGGGGCTGGTTGACTCATCTCCATAGCATCCCCATGCACATTCTTGCCTGATTCCTGGCCATTCCCATATTGCCATCGCCAACAAGATCCCGTCTTCCTCAACCGGGTGCTGCTTCCCTCTCCTGTCTTCCCTCCTGTCTCTCCACCTTCCATCACCTCACCGGGCTTCTTTGTGCTGCTTTCGCTCCTGTTCCATCTGCTTGATGAGAGTTCATTACTTCTGCATGCATGGGCCGCAGCTTCAGCAAAGGATCCCCTCCTCTCCTCTTAAGCTCACTGCTGCTTAGGAGCACTTTGGGCTTTGGCTCCAGTCTCTGTTTCTTTATAGGTGGGCAGCTCTCTGTTTGACTTGGGACCCATCTCTTTGAGCATTGCAATCCCCAACAGCTGCAAACAGGGTTAGGCCCAAAGGGGATGATAGTGCAGGGGTTCTAGGTCTCCCTTAATGTAGGGGGGAAACAAAGAAGAGGTTTAGATTTATAGCTGAGGATCATGGTGGGGCAAAAGCTTAGGCAAGGCTCTGCCTAGTCTACAGCCACAGAAAAAAAGCTTGGGCACAAAATTCAACTCCTGAGAAGTTCAACATCCATTTTAGGACACAACAAGTTTCTAGTCCTTATGATTGAGAAGAGGTACCAAGGGGTAGTGCCCAACAGAAATATTAGTAGGGAGGGAGAAGAGGGATAGGTTTTTCCATGGATGAGAAGAAGAGTTAGAGGGCCCAGTCTCTAACTTATGACTTGCAGGAGCTGGGGTTGTGAAAAACAGGAAAATATAATGCAAACGGCGCCCAGCTGGATAACATGTACAGGATGGGTGCAGAATTCAAGCAGAAAGTGTATGACATCTGCACAGGAATCTGTTCTTTGTTCTGGAGCATAGATACAGTATGAAATGAGAGCCTGATAAGTAACTGTTTACTGGCTAGTAACATCTAAGCCACAGCTCAATAGCCCTGGTTTAATCCCCAGCATGAAAGGATCTAAAGTACCTGAGCAGATAAAAAAGTCCTTGATCTGAGACATTGGAGAGTCACTGCCAGCCAGGCTGGGCGAGGCAACCTCCTCTCTTGCTAAGGGGCCTTGCTGTATAGAACCGATTTTGTCCGATTGGGAACAGGCAAGAAGGCTTCGTTGGGTTGACCAGGTCCTTCTTGGGAACATCTGGCTGGCTCTTCTTGGAGGCCAGATGTGGTATCAGAGGAAACCTGGTCCAGCAAGGCAATTCCACTTGTTCCAGGCCGAGAGTATGACAAAGAAGGGAACCTGCGTCCTTGGTGGCAGAACTCGTCCCTGGAGGCGTTCAAGAACCGGACAGAGTGCATGACGGAGCAATACAGCAAGTATCTGGTCAACGGAGAGCATGTCAATGGCAAGCAGACGCTGGGCGAGAACATTGCTGACAACGGAGGACTGAAGGCAGCCTATAATGTGAGTGAGCTCCGTTGGGGGGTAGTAAACGCCCCCCCCACAAAAAAGGCAGCTGGGGAAAAGACCTGGGGGCTCTGCTCCCACATCTCCATTCCTAGTGGCTGCAGGGGAAAAGGGTTGGGGTCCTCTGAAACCTGGGATCACAGGGTCTACTGCTGGTTCATTGCAGGCTTACAAGGTCTGGCTGAAGAAGTATGGGGAGGAGAAGCGTCTGCCTTCTGTGGACCTCACGAACCACCAGCTCTTCTTCTTAGGATTTGCGCAGGTAACCACTGCTTGGGAGGAAAAACGGATGCCCAGTGTCCTCTCTGCCACCCCATACAAATTCTGCCACTGTCTGCGACATAGAATCATTGGGTTGGAAGGGGCCTCTAAGGCCATCGAGTCCAACCTGCTCCTGAACTACAGGAATCCAAATCAAGGGTTATCTGCCAGGGGGTTGTCCAATTTTTTTCTCGAACACTCCAGCGTTAGAACGCTCACCACCTCCAGAGGTTATGGGTTCCATTGTCGTACTTTTCTAACAGTTAGGAAGTTTTTTCCTGATACTCGAACGCTCCAGTGTTAGAACGCTCACCACCTCCCTCTGAGGTCATGGGTTCCATTGGCATACTTTTCTAACAGTTAGGAAGTTTTTTTCCTGATACTCAGCCTAAATCTGGCTTCCTGTAACTTGAGACAATCACTACGTGTCCTTCAGCCATGAATAGTCCTGCCAAATCCAAAAAATCATGGGCAGAGTATATCAGCCACCCCACAACTTGGTAACAGGATCTAAGGTCCCAGGATCCGTCTCTTCCATCTCCAGCTAGAGCAGGAGGAGTGGGCAACCTTTGGACCTCCAGATGTTTTGGCCTAGAGATCTCATCAGCCCAACCCCAGCATGGCCAATGGTGAGAGACCCTCAGAGTGGCAGTCTGAAAGGGAACGGGATGCTCCCCATCCCTGCATTAGAGGCTTCCCAGCAAGAGGACGATGGGTTTCTGGATCCTGTTCTTCTCCAGCTTCATCTGCCTCAGTGGCCACCATCCATGGCGATTTATCAGCTGCCATCTTTTGGAACTGGAGTCCAGGAACCGTCGGAACTCCCAGAAACAAGACCTGTGCAAAGATATGTGAAAGGGCCACTAGAATGCTATGCCTGGGGCCTTACCCTATGGACTCTTTGCCCATCATCTCTCCTGGTCCTCTCCTTCTTGCTCTTCCTCCTCACTGGTGCCATGGATTTTATTAGTTTAAAAGCTGTATTAAACGGGTGTTTTAAAAAGAGGGTCACTTTACTGGAGAGCTCAATTCAAGCATGTTTGGAGCATTTTCTCTGTACCCCCTTCTCTGATAGCTCTCCTCCACCTATGACCAAATCTTCCCACTACTAATTTTGCTCCTGCTCTGGATTATATTTTAAGTGAGGGGCGGGGAAGGCAAAATAGTAGTTGGATGGCCATGGGCTAGCAAGGAAGGATGTGAACTGTGAATACTTTGCAAATACAATGTGAACTGTGTTTCCCATTCCCTGGATTAAGATCTAGCTCCAGAGTAAAGTTGATTTTTGGACAAGAGTCACTCTGCCAAAGCACCATTCTTCACGGGCATCATTTCTTTGAAATGGAACAAATTCATCCAGTAGCTGTGATTTGCAATCCTTGCAAAAGTGTGCCCCTGTATTTTCCCGGACTGGTTGACTTAAAACAGAATCTTTTTTTCCCCTTTTTCTTTCTTTCTTTCTTTCTTTCTTTCTTTCTTTCTTTCTTTCTTTCTTTCTTTCTTTCTTTCTTTCTTTCTTTCTTTCTTTCTTTCTTTCTTTCTTTCTTTCTTTCTTTCTTTCTTTCTTT